GCAAGCGGAGCTTATGATGAGTTCTTACGTGATGTTAAATACAGGTCAAGTGTTGATTATACAGAAGGAAATACAGGTGTTGAGATCATGCTAAGATAATAAGAACATAGAAAATACAAAGAAGTGACAATTAGATACATGTGATAATAACTTCTCAGCTCAGAAATATAGAGTGATTTTATTGAAGTGATTTATACACTTCTGTATTTATTAGAAACCTGAGATGCTTGAGTTTCAGATTTAATGTATCCCTTGCGGGTTTCAAACCCACACACCTTGATTTCCCATGCCAAGGTGCTACTGAGTGGCTGTATTAATCATTCAGTTATCAGAGCTACTCTCTTTATAAGATCTTGTTACAGAGTCAGAGTAACTGATAAGCAAGCTTCTATCTGAGAACTATCTGAGAACTCAGTGTCTACTTAACTGTTTAACTATTTCTCTATTTCTTATGCATTGTTTATATGTTCAGATATCTCAGTGAAAAATCATTTCTAATGAGAAGACAATGTGTGAATAATTATTTTTAATAAGAAGACAATGAACATTTTTCTAGTATAAGAAGCCTACACTGAATAGATCAGTATTATATTAATAGGTCTTATATAATAAAGAGAAAAATGTTAGAGAAGAAAAGAAAGAGAAAGTGTAGAAATCAGTGATTAGAGTGAATATTTATACATGTATGTAGTGGTGTACGCGGTGAAGCTTCAGAGTGGAAGAATCTATACATGTTTGTGGCGGCCGAGGATCGGTGTACGCGGTGGAGCTTTGGGGCGGAAGAATCTATATGCGTTCGTGGCGGCCGAGGATCGGCGATCGAGAATGGCCGAGAATCGGAGCGTACGTGTTCGAGAGTGAAACGGAAGAATCTATGGAATGTAACACAATAGTCTATATGATTGATCGGGCGCAGCCCGTCACACATTCTCAGAATACTGAGATCACTATGAGAGCTTATGAGATGAATGCAGAGACAATGAATGCAAAGATTCTTGAGTAATTGACTTTCTTCTATTGAAGATTACTGCAGACAACTCAGCACATCTTATAGTGAATAATCTCACTCATATTATTGAACTTTTTGTTAAATACTTATTAATTATGAAGAACACTCATTTGTAATATTCTCTCAATCAGTTGTCAGATTTCTATCTATTTTAAACAGTTAATCTCTTTAACACAGATCTTATAATAATATTTTCATTTCATGAAAGCTTTAATATGTATAAGGTTTTTCAGAATTAGAAGTACAGTGATCTCAGAATCAATGAATAGATCTTTAAAACTATCTCTTACTGAAGATTTTCTCACTGTAGATTCTCTCACTATAGATTTCCTCACTATAATAATATCTCTTATAGATGTTAAAGAATTATCAGATTTAACTGTAAGTTCTGAGAAATTCAGTGTATTCTGCACTAAAAAGATAGATATTCTCATGAAGATATCATAGTCAATTCATTAATTATTAGTGAGTATGAGAAATAATGAACACTCAGGTCAGATTTTCTTATCAATGAACAGATTATCAATTGATGAATCAGAAATCACTATAATCTCTTGATAAGCTGTAGTGAGTAAATCTGATATTACTGAAGAAATTACTGCAGCTGCTTTACAGACTGCATTGAGTAGAACCTTCAGATTGTGTGAAGTAGTTAATATTAATAAATTAATAAGATAAAGGTTCTTCTGAAAAATAATGTCTTTTGATATGTATAAACACCTGTTGAAAGAATTCATTAATCTGTAATTAATAAAATCATCATATCTTATAAAAATCAACTCTTTGAAATGAGAAGCTATCTTATTAATGAGCTTGAAGACTATCTTCAGAAATGCTTTACAATCTCATCAGTGAATACCGTGTGCAGAAGATAGAGCTTCAAGTCAGACCTCATATAATATAATCAGCTTTGTGTTTTCAGAGTTCTTATATAATATTCTTGAGATTGATATAAGATTAAGCAGCTCTGTGACTGTAATAACTATCTCATCTCACATCTTTTTCAGAGCTGAAGAGTCTATTAATAGTGATCAGAACTTCTTAATGATTAAACTAATTAATTATTTAGATACTTTATCTTACTGTGAAGTATAAGAGAGAGTTAACTCTTATTTTATATCTTCACTGAGCATATATGCTGTAACTGCATTTGAATTCAATTCTTCACAATCTGAGTGAATAATTGCAATGTCATGTCTCAGCAGATTCTTGATAAATTAATTGAAGATCTGTAGATATCTCAACATCTCATCCTTGCATTTCAATAGAAATATTCATCTTATATAAGTGATATTATCTGTTATCATCATTGCAAGCTTCTTGTCAGTGTAAGATAATATATCATTTTCAGTCTCAAGAGTCTCATCATCACTGAATATATTCACTCAAATCTTCAAGGCCTTGCAGGTGACATGACATGGTGTGAAATTCTTGTAGAAAGCATTTTTCTGTTTAGTCTTAATATATGTAACACAGAATGATAATTTTTTCAGGCTGATAATAGTAATATTAAATCGCGGGTCTCTGATCATCTTTAATATACTATTTTCACTGATATGATTAAGTTGATAATTGATGTCACTCATCTATCAGAAGCTGTTTCAGAAGAACTGTAGATAATTAAGATAAAGATGAGATAATAAAGAAATCAGTATCTGAATTCTTAAGATTAATTAACTGTTCAATCTTCTCATGACTGAAAGGTCTCAAAGACTCTGTATTCAAATTGTAATCTGTTGAGATTGTCTTTAGTTTCAGAACAGTCATGTATGTCACTGCTTTATACATTGAGTTATTCATTACTTCATGAAATGTTGATGAGCTGTGAGATAGAATGTTAATATTATTATGAGACAGATTGATGTAGAAGATATCACTGTTGATAGATAATAGAAACTTAAAGTAGTTCTCAGTATTAACTTGTATATTATAGTGAATATAGCTCTAGCACTTCATAAGTTCAGTGAAGATTAGATTTGTAGATAGTTCTGACATGTAGTATATATGATTAAATTCTATCAATCTTTCACTTACTAGAATGAATGCAGTGCTGACACTCTGAACCTTTAAAATAATCTTATTAATTACTTAAACTATCAGATTATTGATTGTAATAAGTTCTGAAAATTATAATCTATCACTTACTATGTAGCATCTGATATCACTATCTTATATTATAAGGGAATTCTTGTGAGATTTCTTTAAACAGGCTGATACATTAATTATCTCTGTGAGGTTTATCATCTGATAGGTCTCTGATTCATCTGTAATGAATAATTGAGTTCTACCCTTACTATTGTTCTTTTTCTTCTTTTTCTTGAATTTCTTTATTCTTACAGTATTGTTTATTCTTCAATTATTCAGAGCACTGTCTGAATTAATTAATCAACAGATGTCAAAGTGAGATCTCTCACATTCAGAATATATAAATGAATTTCCTGATTCTCAATGATTTTAGAAGCTCTCTTGAGTACTATTATAATCACATTCAGTACAGTCTTCACGGGTCAAATTCAATGTATTATTGTTAGAATTGATAGATATAGTGATTGTTATAGCTGTAGTTGTTGTAGCAGAGTTAGTCACAGAATCTGTATTCTGTAGATTCTTTTTATCTTTTAAAGAATTAAGCTGTGAACAGATCTTCTTCATGAGAAGATTAATATTTAATATCACAGCTGTGAATTTGAAATTCTGTATCTTCTCTATTTTCTTCTAAACATAATCTCTTTAATTGTTGAGTAGAACTGAGTAGAAGATATCAAATATTCACATATCTGAAGAGAAAGTATTCATCATCTTCAATTTCATAATAATGAACTAGAACTTATCAAAGAATGTGTGTAAATTAATAATCTATATATCATCAAGTAACATGAATTTCAGAACTATCTCACAGCATAACTGTGTTTTAAGAACAGAGTATTTCTGTTCAATCTCATTTCATAGAGTATAAGTAATCTGATTTTTATTATATTTGAAGAAATGTGATCTGACAGCTGCACTTAATAAGTTTGAGATGAATGTGTAGAGTCATCAGTTTCTGATATCTAAGAATAATACTTATTCATTATCTCTTTATAGAGAGTTCTGTGTCTGTCATTTCTCTATCATATATTAACACTGTGTATCAATCAGTTTTGATTTCATGAAGATGCTTTATATGATGTAATTGAATATATCAGTTAGACTGTTTGATCTCACAGTATTCTTGACATCTTTCTTGAATTGAAAGATTATCTTGTCAACACAGCTATTCAGTTCATAAAGGTTGAATTTCAATCTTTCACTAAGATTAGAATCTCATGTGACTGTACAGGCTGTTGAGATGATAGTAGAATTATTATTAACATTCTGTGATTAATCTATAGAGAATCTCTGTTGATGAAGTTTTTTCAGTTATAATTTAAGTTCTAGAACTCTTCACTTCTTCTTCTTTATCTTAAATATCATCTTGAGATGTTTCATCTATTGATCTGATATTGTCTCGCCTGAATAATTGACTTCATGAGAATCAGCATTAAGCTATTGAGTAGATTGAGAGGCCGGCCTGACCGTGTCAGAAGCTGTATTCAAACCAGCTTCAAATTAAGAGAGTGTTTCAGAGCACTTATCAATGAAGCTTTCAAAAGCTTCAGAAGAATGTTCACTAGCAGAGTATAAGTGTATATATGTGTGAGTCACGTGAGTTAGACCTTATATAGTAGCTTTAACACCCCCTCATGCTACACAGATCAGTTAATTCACACAGTTAAAAGTGCTCAAATCATTCAAATCTGCAATAAAAATTAATTACAAAAAGTAGAGTCTAGTTTCCTCATAAGAACTAGCTTCATACATGAAAAAACATAAAAAACATGCAAGAAGAATGCTCAAATCTGTTCTTTCAGTATTGATATTACTCTCAGTCATTCTAACGCCGCGGGATCTCATTCTCATTATTTTTGTGGTTTTCATTGTCATAGGTATAGACATAGGTCATCGGCATAGGTCATTGTATGAGCAATCGGTGGCCCGGCATCATATAGGCACTGGGGCCTGGCATCGTAGGCACTGAGGCCTGGCATCGTAGACACTGTGGCCTGGCATCATATAGAGACTGTGGCCTGGTATCGTAGGCACTGAGGCCTGGAATCATATAGGCACTGAGGCCTGCCATCGTAGGCACTTGGGCCTGGCATCATATAAGCACTGTAGCCTGGCATCATATAGACACTGGGGCCTGGCATGGTTATCGGTATTTTTATTGTTTTGGCGTTAATATTGATGATTATCATGAGTATCATTAGAAGACTTGCTCAGTATTGTAGTATATAGATATAGTGATATTATCATTATTAACCTTCTTTCTATTCTTTTAATCTGCAGATTGTTTTTCTAAGTATTCAAATCAGTAGCTTGATTTATCATGATCTTTCATCTTGCAGACAGTGCATTTCTTCTTAATATTCTTATTATTCTTCATGTTCTTAATAGCATCTTTGTTATTCTTTGTATCATTTCTGACATTTTTATCATTCAATGATAGACAGAGTAGTATATCTCTGCAGAGATCAAGAAAATCATCTTCTAGTAATGTGATATTATCATTCTTTACTGCATAGTTCATATAATCTCTGATAAAGATTGATTACTTCTTGATAAGACTGTTAAGAAGCTTGTTAAAGAATATGAAGTTGAGAATATTAGTATATTCAATATAAATATACTCAATGTGAATTGTAAGTAGATATTTTATAAATAAGTGATTGAAGTTATCATAGATAACAGTTGCACTGATATCATTGAATTTCTTGAATAGACAGACTCTGTGAATTTTCACTCATTCTGAAAAGAATACTGCTATGACATTTCATAGAGTAGTAGAACTTAGAGAATCTTAAGATATAGTAAAAAGAGATTTAACTTCAATAGAAATAGAAGACTATATAAAATTATATAGTCAGAAGTTATGTTTCTCTCAGAATTATTTCATATTCTTATAAATATTCTTTAAGAACTTACTAGTGAGAATATCTTCTATATGAGATTGTTTAATAATAAGCAGAATCTCTTTCTTTCAAATGAAGTAATCAGATATTGATTTAAGAAGATCTGATTTTTGAAGATATTTAACATATTTGCAGAATTCTTGAAGAACTCTGCTTAGTGCAGAAATATTCTCTTAATGCTGAAAATAAGCAGTAAGATCAGAGCTTAGATTATTAATATTATTAATAGTAGCTGTAGTAGTAGAATTGCTAGAAGCTCTTATCTAATATAGTTCTTTATTTATCTGAGTAATACATCATCTTAAGACAGCAGCTTCATCAGTCATATTATTATTATCTTGATTATTATTATTATATAGTGATTTTCTCATAATTATTAAGATTGAAAAGAATTCAGATACAGTAGTTTAATTCTCTAAGATTTCTTCATAATTAATTGATCTTATATTAACAGGCATTTGATATGAGGTATTTAAATGAAAGAAGCAGCTATTTGAAAAGCTTATTATATGATTATTACATGATTATAATACTTTATAGAAGTGTAAGAGCTTCATAATCTGTAAGAGAGATTGAATGTGATTTTTGCCCCGGTGGCTGAATGATTAATGCAGCCACCTGATAGCACCTTGGTGTGAGAAACCAAGGTGTGTGAGTTTGAAACCCGCAGGGGATACATTAAATTCATAACTCAAGCACCTCAGATTTCTAATAAATACAGAGGTGTACAAATTGCTTTAATAAAATCACTCTATGTTCCTGAGCTGGGAAGTTATTATCACATGTATCTAATTGTCACTTCTTTGTATTTCCTATGTTCTTGTTATCTTGATGTGGTCTCAACACCTGTATTTCCTTCTGTATAACCAACACTTGGCCTGTATTTAACATCACGCAAGGACTCATCATAAGCTTCACTTGCATATGAGTATAATGGAAGAATAATAATAATAATAATAATTGAATGTGATTGATTGTTATTGTTTAACTAGTAGCTAGTGAAAGTTAAATATATGTGTGTGAGTCACGTGAGTTAGGCCTTGTATACCTAGGTAGTAATCATGTCATGCTTACTCACTCTCTCTAGTAAGTGCATTACAGTGTATGAAAAATCACACTGTACAGAAAATATTTTAAATATAGTAATCTTTAAAAATTAATTAATAATCATTATCACATCTATCTATAATATAAAGATTATCTATATACTCATTAGAAGGTGTAGAATTCACTGTAAATTAAAATTCTATAGAATTATCTTATTGTGATTAAGTAACTGTAGATTTTATAGATTTGATTTCAATTAATTAAAGATTATTATTAAATATCTTTTTCATCTTATCTATTCTACAGATTGTAATCTTATAATTGACATTCTTAATAGTGAGAACTTCATCTACTTGTATCTATCTGTGAGAGAATTTAACAATCTGATATCTATTTACTTAATAATGATTTGTAAGTTCACTCTTATAATATATGTTCAATTCTGCCTAAATCATACTACTCTTGAAGATCTTGTTTTAAACACAACAATTCTATCTGAAAGAGATGAAAAGTGAGGCAAATTCATTCTTCATGATATTCCAGTTGAAATTTTTGACTGTGAAGAAGGAATGCTACTTCTCAAAAATGAATTGGAAGAATACAACTCTATTCAACTGAGAAAGGAGCCTGTATGACTAAATTCAATTGAGTTCAGACAAAGCAGGAGAAATGCCTCTGTTCTAGTATATACAAAAACACTTGAACAGTCAAAGATCTCTGAAGTAAGAGTAGCAGGTTTGAAAATGAGAGTTCATGAATACAAAGACTCAAGGATGAATCTCAAAGCTCAAACACAGTGTTCAAACTGTCAAAGATATGGACACTTTGCAATCTCATGTTTTAGAGACTCAAAATATGCATTCTGTGCCAGAGATCACAAAACTAGTGAGCATAAATGTGAAACATGCTCAAAAAGAGGTGAAATTTGTCAACACACTCTGCTTAAGTGCTCTAATTGCAAAGAAAAACATGCATCTAGCTCAAAAGAATGTATGTTTGCTTCTAGAACTCAAAAGAACTGGAGAAAAGATGAAGCTCAAAGTCAATCTAGAACTGAAGAGAAGAGTCAAGCCAGTAAACTCACAACTGCAAGCTCAAAAAGAAGAAACTCTCAACTATCTAAGTCTTCAAACTCCAACTCTCCAGCTAAATGTAAATAGAACTTGAATCCTCAAACTTCTGTTAAGATTAGAGAATTGAGAAATGACTCTGGTGATAAACTAGATATAATGTAAGCAGTTGAGATTTCTACTTTTCAGAACAGTTATAATCTACTATCTGATGATAGTGATTAGATTCTACTCTACTCTCTTTTAGTATGAATATACAACAAAAACAACAAAAAAAGTTTAAAAACTCTTCAAAAATCACATTTATTCAAAATAATGTGAATAGAAACTCAAATTGTATTTATTCTTGTCTTCAAATTGCATTTGAACAAAAAGTTGATTTTATACTGCTTCAGGAGCCGAATTTTGATGCTGAGCAAAAATATGTTATTTCTCATTCAAGCTACTACTGCTTTTTATCTCAAAAGTCTGAGATAAAGTCAAGAGTAGTGATCTATGGAAGAAAGAGATCAAGATATCAATTTAATCTAAGATTTGATATCATGTCTGACCCTGATATTCTGGTGGGTGATATTATAGATAAAGAAAATGAGTTTGATACTATACAGCTCATAAATATCTATAATGAAAAGTCATTGAAGGAAAATAACAATATCTGGACAATTGATAGAGGATTTCTGAACATAACTCCATCAAGAAACTCTATAATTGCAGGAGATTTCAATGCACATCATCTCTGGTGAAATTCAGAATGTAAGAGAGCAGTGAGAGCTGATAATCTGATTGAATGAATCTTTGAGCATTCAATAGATTTGGTTAATAAGTCTGATCAACAAACATTCTTTAGAAAAGGCATGAAACAGAAGTCTATTATAGATCTAACCTTCATGTCACAAAATCTAATGGAAAGAAGACTTGTAAACTGGTTTATTGATTCAAATGAGACATCAGGATCAGGTCATGAGATTATTCAATTTAATATTGAACTGAGTGAAAAACAAATGAGTGAAAATCCTCTTCTCTCTAATCAGTATAACTTTGAAAAAGCTGATTGGAAAGCAGTTGAAGAAAGCATAAAACTGCTAAAATCTGAAAGACAGAATGAGCTATATTGGAATTCTGGTCAAGATATCTCAAATGAAATGCTTGAGAATAGAGTGAAGCTTATTACATCTATTATTCTAACAAGTGTTAGAGATAATATTTCAAAAAGAAAATCTTCTGAGTATTCAAAACCTTGGTGGAATGAGAATATCTCATCTAAAAGGAAAGAATTAGCTACTGCTAGAAGAGATTGGAAAAATGATGTAATATCTGATGAAGAGTTCAAAGCTGTCAGAAATGAATATTTTTCAGATGTCAAAAGAGCTAAAACAGACTGCTGGAATAAATTTCTTGAAGAAGCACAAGAGAAGGAAATTTTTAAAGCTTTTAACTATACTAAAACAAGAAGTGTAGCAAAACTTCCAGCCTTAGAATATGAGTTTCAGAATGAATCATATACAGCAAACTCTTTTGAGGAAAAATGTCAAGCTTTCATGAGAATTCTCTTTCAGAACTCATCAGACTCAGATTCAGATTCAGAGGAAGAGAATATATCACTTCTTAACTACATTGATGAAAATGACTGGGAATGGCCTGATCTTATACAAGATGAATTAGAGTCAGCTATCTTCTCAAGTTCTGTTAAAACTGCTGCAGGTCCTGATTCAATTAATCACTTGATTATTCAAAATACATATTCCTACTTAAAGAATGAATATTTTGAGCTCTTTTTCAATCTCTTGAAAAATGGATATCATTCTGAATGCTGGAGAGAAGCCACTGGAGTGATTCTTGCAAAACCTAATAGAAAAACTTCAATTCCTAAGTCATATAGAGTAATATCTCTATTGAACTGTTTAGGAAAGGTTTTAGAAAAGATAATAGCTACTCAACTATCTTTTATAAGCTCTATAGATGATTCTCTTTTATTCAGTGAACAAATGGGAGGTAGAAAACAGTGTTCTGCAATTGACACTGTTCTCTCAGTTGTTCATGATATTCAAATAGCAAAGCATGAGAGTCTGGTCTCAACTGCAGTTTTTATTGATATAAAGGGAGCATTTGATCATGTTTCAAAGTCAAAGTTAATTCAGACATTGAAGATATTAAAACTGCCACTTTCTCTAATAAAATGAGTTAACTGTTTTATGTCTAAAAGAATTATACAACTCTTCTTTGATGGAATGAAACAAGACAAGACTGAGATAAAAATAGGAGTATCACAGAGATCTCCAATCTCACCCATTTTATTTGCAATATACACTGCATATCTATTCAAAAATAGAAATATGAGAATAGTGTGATCTCTGAGTTATGTGGATGATATTGATCTAGTCTACAGCTCAAAAACTATCAAAGAGAATTTGAAAGTAATTGAAGAAGCTGCAAAGGAAATCTTTGTTAGAGCAGATATCAATCAAATTCAATTTGATATGAATAAAACTGAGTTAATTCATTTCTTTCCTAGACTCAATGAGAAAGAACTATCTCTAACTCTTTTAAATAGAGAGATTAAATCCAGTGTAAATGTCAAATGGTTAGAAGTATGGTTAAACTCCAAGTTGAATTTTAAATATCACATTCAACAAAGAACTGTCAAGGCAGAAAGACTATTGAACAACATAATCAGACTATTAAATACAGAGAGAGGTCTATTCTTTCAGGCTATGAGACAGTTATATATAGCCTGTATCACATCAGTAGCTGATTATGGAGTTCAAGTTTGGTGGAATAATCAAGGGAATTTCACTGAACTCTTTCAAAGTCTGTAAAACAGAGCCTTGAGAAGAATTCTGGGAGCATTCAAATCATCTTCTATTAAAGCAATGGAAATTGAAGCTTCAATTCCTCCTCCTGCTATTAGATTTGAAAAGGCCTGTATGAACTATGCTCTGAGAGTTGTAAAGATGAGCTCAAATCATATAATCAGAGAAAGAGTCTCTTCTTCATTTCCATCAATTAACTCTGGAAATGAACTGGATTGGAATAGATTTCTTGATTGAAATGAAAATAATTCTTCAAAGAAAATGCCTTCTCAACTGTACAGACTATGCTCTCTGATTAAAAATCAATTTTCTTCTTTAAATGTTGAAAAAGTTGATCATGAGAAGTTATCTCTCTGAAGAGAAAAGCTTGAATCTCTTATAGACTTACAAATAAGTGAACTATCAAAAGAGAAAGAATATGAACAGCATTTGAAGAGAATTTCTACAATCAATATAAAAGACTCTATTCTGGTTTATTCAGATGACTTAAAAAATGAGAACTTGAATAGATTAGGCGCAGACATTGCTTATACTGAAGATAATATTAATTTTATCTCAGATTTCTGGAATCTAGGCTCTGAATGTGAAGTCTTTGATGCTGAACTATTTGCAATAGTGAAAGCTTTCAAACTCATTGAAATAAAATCTCATAAAAGAGGAAATTGTTTGAAAGAGGCATGGATATTCTCTGATAGTCAAGCTGCTTTAAAAAGACTTAGAAATAGTCAGATTCATAATGATCAAATGAATCTTGAACTGATCTTAAACTCTGTTTTGAAAATTCAAAAGAGAAGAACATCAAAGCTGATAATTCATCTACACTGGGTTCCTGCTCACATGAATATTCATGATAATGAATTGGCTGATTCAGCTGCAAAAAAGGGTGCAGAATTAAGCAGATCTATTCAAAAAATTATGTCCTGATCTTTTATAAAGAGAAAAATAAAAGAATCTTGTTTAGACAAGTGGAATGAAAGCTGGCAGAAACAAAAGAAGAGTATACATTATTCAAGATTTGAAACAAAACCCAAGTGGAAATCTTGTTCAATTAAATGTAAAAAGAAAATATTCTCATCTATAATACAGCTGAAACTAGGACATGGCTATTTCAAATCTTATATACAAAGATTTGATGATAGATTTGACTCAATAGAATGCTCATTCTGCAATACAAATGAGAATCCTGAGCATATTGTAATGCACTGTGCATTATACAATAGTCTCAGAGCCAGATTGAAAGAGAAGTATGATCTAAATCAATTAAATATGAGATTCTTATTCTCAACTGAGACAGGAATTAAATACTTAATAGACTTTCTATCAGAAACTCAAGCAGCTACAAGAAAATGGCTAAATTCAGAATTATCTGAGTATGAAGAGGAGGAAATAAATCAGATATAGTCTGTTAAAACAGCTATACACTCTCTTTTAATAATTTGTTTTGTTATAGTCTCTCTTTACTTTATCTTTTTCTTTATCTTTTTCTTTCAATTTCTTTCTATCTATTTATTTAATGTGTCTATCTTTGAGACTGTGTTCTTTTTCTCTTTTCTTTTGTCATGATATTGTCAAATGATTTCAAAGTATCAAAAGATGTTAAAACACTGCAATTTGTAAACAGTTTTTGTATTCTGGGCTGGAATTTTCTGATTTTGCATATCTGAAATTGATGAATGTATAATAGTTAACTTTACAGACATAGAAAAAACCCTGAGAACTAAAGTTCTCAGGTAGATGTCATAGTCTCTGACTGCATACATCTATAATTGAAGAATAATAATAATAATAATAATAAGATCTTGTTTAACTGTCTTATTAAATCAGATATAAGAGTATTCTTCACATCTTCTAAGATCTTGACTGCTGTATTAATTTGATAACATAGTTTTGCAATTATCTCTGAAGAGATTAATTATAAGAAGACAGTTAATAGTTAATCTGCAGACAGTGAAGTAAAGTGATTATATATATTATCATTATTATTGTATATATTGAGATTCAGAGTATCATCAATAGTAAGAGATCTTAATTAATTGAGAATTATATCATGATTAACTGAATACATTTAGACTGACCGTGTGACCGTGTCTGAGACTAGAACCAGATTTTTTGATAGTCTTATTATCAATTTGACTAATCTCATTACATGGTTTTAACATTAGATAGTAGTCTCATACTATCTCAGTGAGACTTACTGTCTACTCTTATCACATTTTTCAAATGAGATCATGATTTTCACTTCTCAATTTAAATTATTTTTATTGCTTTAAATGACTTTAAATCTTATTTGAGTGTTACTAAAAAGCATTACTTTTTAAAAAATTAAAAATAGTCTAAAAAAAACCTTAAAATGTCTAAAAATAGTAACTTTATGCTAAGAATGAGACTAAATGAGATCAAATGAAATCACTTTCTCATTTTTTTCAAGTCATGGTTTCATTTTAAAATCTGATATATAGTCACTTTGCATGTTTTTTTAATAGCTAGTCTCAGCAGGATTCACATCAAGAAATGTATGAGATCAGATTAAATGAGATTAAATGTGAAATTCATAATCTCAGCAGCCAGTCTAAATACATTTCACAGTTAGCAAAGCCAGCTCTCACAGTATCAGGTTTAAATACTTACAGTCAGATACTCTTCAGATTAGTAAGAAATTATCTGTTATTATACTACTTATATCTGTAGCAGATAATCTTATTAATAATATTTAACTGATAAATTTATATCTTAATTATCTCTTTCTAACTGTCATTCAATGCTTAATTCAGTGAAACTCTTATAGTTCTTAATTTCTTTCTGTTAATTCTCTCATACAAGATGATATATAAGACTTTAAATTCTTGTGATAGAGACATGATTTTTAATTTTGAATTGTTTTTATATACATCAACAGCTCTTTGCAACTGCTTCTCAGTATAATTAGAAGATTTAGACATGATTATAATTAATGATGATTATTTGAAGATGAAGAATGAAGATATTGAAAATATTTTCTGTACAGTGTAGTTTTCCATACACTGTGGTGCACTCACTAGAGAGAGTGAGTAAGCATGGCACGGTTAGCTCCAACACATGTTACATATAAGTCCTGTTTAGGAAGACCTCTACCACTTGCGCCCTCGGCCCTGACAGGAGAAACAAAGCCGCGCACAGAATGCATGATTGCTTGGTTCTTGGACTGTACTTCTGATCATTAATTTACCAATGATCCTGTCATGCGAAACGCAGCATCTATATAATTCAACAACTTCTCTCTCCAAATCTTGCCATGAAATCAAACATCTCTTCCAGGTCCATTCGCTATAAATTCCAATTCATCTCAAAGAATTATGGCAGATGTGGATCCCGCAAAACCGCCCGCTGAAGCTCCGAAACCTGGGAAGGAAGCACTGCCAAACACAGCATTTAACACATACTATCTCATTCATTACGATTGCCCCGTTGGCCCAGTTCAGTCAGTTGTTGCTGAATGGCGTGTTGTCCATAGAAATTCCATTTTAACAGGATCAGGTGCCGAGCAATATAAATATGAAGGCAACAATGTTGTGCGGCCTCGAGCGCCGGATTTCCTTGCAAATGAGCTTAAGACCTGTGATCTAGGGTTACTTATGATACCATTTTGGTTAGTGCAATTGTCACTATATTTAATGCTGATACTAATAATCCTCATCCAGTGCCACGACAGAGACAGAGTTACAATTGTACAACAACTTCACGGTGGAAGATTGTGTATTGTGAGCATTCCTTATGATAACCCTCTTGTCCAGATAATCAGCCTGCTAACAATTTATCCAAATTGGTTGCCGTGTACTCGAAAACGTTTCCCACCACAGCAATTAAATGTCTGCCTAACTCCGATGATCTTTTGACAACCACCATCAATATGGCACCGATTTTCACAAATATAATGATGCAAGATGGGCTGTCGTATCGCGGACCGTGGAAGAGTGATATCCGAGAACTCGCCCTCAAGATACAGAATGAATCGGGGATGGGTCATTACTTTCTGAAAATATATGGCCCGAGCATGTCCCCGACAGAGAGAAGTTCTTTGGCAATTATCGAAGTGTTCCTTCACAAAATATTAGTTCCAGTGGACAGGACTGACTGGAAACATGTTGCACATATGTATGGAAACGTCTGTAAAGAACTTCGGATTGAAAAAGAGTTTTCAGAGGGAATTACAGCTTCACTACAGAGTACAGTTCTCGATGAAAAGAGAGGAGCAGCTTACTTGCAGCCTCTGTTGTAACGCAGAGCCGGGTACACCGCGGTGGCTTTTTTCATTACCCCTTCTTTTCCCTTTCCTTTTCAGTTATTCTCTAGAAAGTCTCCATTCAGTATGATATGGATGTCATATCTTACGCTTGGGTATACGTGGATTTTACGGGGTCTTGTAATTCAACATACTAGCACATCTTAATTGACTTGTTGTAAATAATGCCCGTTTACCCACATTAGAGTACTAATTATGTATGGAAAATGTTTACCGGTCATGCAATTGTTGCGCCTCTATTATAGAAATACCAACTTTTCTGTGTAAAAGATTGTGTGTGGGGGGGGGAGACTTCAGGTACCTTAAAGCCTGTTGCTGTTTCTAAGTCTCCTGTCAGTGCTTGCTTTGTTGTATTTCTAGCATAGTTATTGTTTAGTTCGGTAGGGAAGAATATTAAATGTCGTACAGCTTACGCCCCATACGCCCAAAGGCCTGTGCCTTTGCGGCTAGTCGTAAAAATAGAAAATTTTCCAGGCGCTTTCCTGGAAGATATGCAGGCTGCAGGTTAATGCACTAATGCACGAAGGAGCCGTGTAATGAGGCAACGTTAAGGCAACCTACTTCGAATCACGCGGAGACCAGCCTCGTAGGTGCGGAAAGGAAAAAGAAAAGAGAAAGATATAAGGCGAAGCTAAAACCATGAAATACAGAAAACTTATAAAACAAACCCGAAGTCCTCTTCGACTTGAAAGTACCTGTCAGTCCCGTTTCCCTCAAAACTCGTCCCGCGGACACAAGATGAGCTCATTGACGACAACGGATATGATTTTAGTGGCTCTGCTTCTGCCCCTGGCAAAAAGATTCTCTTGGTACGATGTGAGCTCGTTGACACCAACAGCAATAGCACCCTCCTAATCATTGGGCTAGGTCGCGCAGGGCCTTCAGATCATTGCCAAGTCCGAGACTCACGTGCTCGATGTTTTGCGGCTCTTACAATCGCCTGACGACAATGCCCCGCACCAACATGCCCAGGAACACATATCAATAGACATGTCGCTGCTTAAGCAGGTGCATACTAAGTCTGGTCTGATGCTTCTGGACCTCTCTAGCTCCCCGGCAAAGGTTCAAGTGCTCGAATGTCTACACAGAGATGGATGGGTTGTATTGAAGAATGCTGCGAGCACCAAATCCCAACAGCAAGCGCCATCCAATGAGGTAAAAAGTCTGTTCTATTGTCATCACAGCTTCGCTGATGAGAATTAGGTTGTTCTTGCTCTTCTGTCCGCTGCACGGCGTGGGAGCAGTGACTTTGAGAGCAGTTACCCTGAGGTTTCATGGCCATCAAACCTACAAAAAGGCCCAAACCCAATTCAGCGACCTCAAAACTGGAGGGGTATGGTGCAAGAACGGGCAACAGATATAGTGGCGATCTCCTGCCACCACCTTTGGGGTGACGAGACGGATATATGGGACTGGGAATATGATACGGGGCTGCGTGGCGATGAGACCGGACAGATGGCATCTGTGGCTGCTACTGGTGGAGACTTGTGTGTGAAAACCTGCACCGCTTCTATGTGCTGATGAGATGCTGACATGTTTTAGGCTCATATGTAGTGGCTGGCTACCACGGAGGCTTCCGAAGCCTCGAGGCCAGACTGATCTTGTCACCGTAAAGCATCGATGGAAGCACTTTGGTTGGACAACGCCTTCGAGAGAGCCTTGATGTGCAGTAAATTATGGGAGCAGATACATTCTTAACATTATCTAGACGGCGGCATATCCGCGGAAATTTGGTGCATTATATAGCATATTAATGGGATCTAAAGATTCAGGAAAGCTATGATGATAACTGATTGTAGTGGCAGGCAGTCGTTGCAATTGATCGGAAACCTCAGGCCCATCCCCCCCTCCCCCCAGCGGTCGTCTCGTGCCGGGAGTGTCCTTGGGAATTATATGTGGACGATGAAAAGAAATCTCCACTGCCAAAATCACCGTTGCTCTTGTGACCAAATCCCAAACCCGAATCTGCATTGCCGGGAAACCCCACATTATAATCACACACAACCGAATGGTGACCAAAGGATGCAGGATGTTGGCCGGAAAATTCACCCCCGTCTCCTCGAGCGGTGGTCTCGCCTGGGGGCCCTTGGAGGCCGTTTTCGGGCGCAGAAATGAAATCTCCACCATCAAAATCACAGAGTAGATTGCTCCCACCCTCAAATCCCATATTCAAATATCCATTGCCAGGAAAACCCTCATTATAATCATACACAGCCGAATGGTAATCAGAGGATGAAGGCTGGTCATGACCCGGCAGGGGGTTTCGTATAGTGCAGCTGTCTATAACAGGGTTGAGCATCGCCTCGGAGAGTGATAATGGTTCTCCTCGACTTTGCTCTGGTGGTGATCTGTTCGGGCTCACCGGACAGATCGCGCTATCAAGAGGGCAATTAGCACTTGGTATGCATATCACAGGAACCGAAATAGTGTCGTGCATGGGATGGAACAGCACATACTGGTTCCTGGACTGAGATAGTTGTCTTTGAACCGGGGAGACATGATTGCCAATCTGGTTCCTGGATTCTTCGAGCGTTTGTGTTCTGAATCGATTGTCCACTCTTTCATCTACTGTAACCGTGAGTACTCATACATATAGCTGCCGATGTGACTTACAGAGAGCTTGTCTACTGGCATTCAGAGGCCATAGCGGCCACTAATTAATTTAGCGTACGATATATAAGAAGCCGGCGTACGCCTGTAATCGTACGCTGGGTTAAGCAACCTTTGAATCACAACATCACTGTATAAGAATATAACTAATTAATTATTGAAGATCTGAATATCACTCTTTTAGAGAACCTGACTACTTACTAGTTATTATTATTATTATTCTTCAATTATAGATGTATGCAGTCAGAGACTATGACATCTACCTGAGAACTTTTAGTTCTCAGGGTTTTTCCTATATCTGTAAAGTTAACTATTATACATTCATCAATTTCAGATATACAAAATCAGAAAATTCCAGCTTAGAATACAAAAACTGTTTATAAATTACAGTGTTTTAACATCTTCTAATACTTTGAAATCATTTGACAATATCATGAGTCATGACAAAGGAAAAGAGAACACAGTCTTAAAGATAGATATATTAAATAGATAGATAGAAAGAAATTGTAAGAAATCCCGCTCCTCGCGGATCCTTTACCCCTATTCCTATCTCTCACATAACTAATAGGGTTAGCGGCCCTTGGCTACACACAACTATATAGACTGGAGTTCATGAATACTATTTATAACTCAGCTTGAATACTATTATATATTTAATCTCTATATTTTATCTTTCTACTGTGAATACTTCTAGTAGTTAATAATATATATTATATCAAGCTGTAAATATCTGAATAATTATCTGTAAATACTTATTCTTACATTTCAAGCTCAGTCAGTCAGTAATTATCTATTATAACTGAAAGAACTAGAAACTTATATACTTTAATCTCTGTGAACTCTACTGCAGATACTCAGAAGCAGTCACTTAAATTATGAATAACTTTTATAAAAGAAGTCTCAGAGAACTTATTAATTATTTATAGAATATTATTCTCTATATCTGTAATAGAGAAACTTTCTGAACTTATAAATAAATTAATCTTAGTAAAGAATATTTTTGAGTATTTTCTATAAAATTAAGCTATTTTTCTATAAGAAATGCTTACTGTTTGTAAATACTCTTAAACTAAGTTTCTAGATATCATCTTCAGAAATATTTATAAATTGAAAAGAAACTTTCTTAAGTTATAATTACTTAAGATTACTTATTAAATTATAATCTATAAAAGCTTTTATAAGTTTGTATTTAAAATTAACTTATAAGCTCAGCTGTGTAATATAAAAGATGAAGAAGCTGTTATCTATATAATAACAGATCTCTACTATACTGAAGTTAAGAACTAACTGAATTATTTAGAGAATGATTATAAGAGATCTCACTAATTTATTCTTAAAATCTATTTAAAGAATAAGTTAAGAGACTTTATAAGCTGAACAGAGAATATCTGAACTATAATTATTAATATTAGAAAAAGAGATAAGAAATCTGATAAAGACTACTTACAGCATTTTATAGAATTATAATATAAATTAAGATCTGTGAATAGACTGACTGTGTGACCGTGTCTGAGATCAGAATCAGATTTTTTGATAGTCTCATTATCAATTCAACTGATCTTATTACACAGTTTTAACATTAGATAGTTATTATTATTATTCTTTAATTATAGATGTATATAGTCAGAGACTATGACATCTATCTGAGAACTTTTAGTTCTCAGGGTTTTTCCTATATCTGTAAAGTTAACTATTATACATTCATCAATTTCAGATATACAAAATCAGAAAATTCCAGCTCAGAATATAAAAACTGTTTACAAATTACAGTGTGTTAACATCTTCTGATACTTTGAAATCATTTAACAGTATCATGACAAAGGAAAAGAGAACACAGTCTTAAAGATAGACATATTAAATATATAGACAGAAAGAAATTGAAAGAAAAAGATAAAGCAAAGAAAGACTGTAACAAAACAAATTATTAAAAGATAGTATATAGCTGTTTTAACAGACTATATCTGATTGATTTCCTTCTCTTCATATTCAGATAATTCTGAATTTAGCGATTTTCTTGTAGCTGCTTGAGTTTCTGATAGAAAGTCTATTAAGTATTTAATTCCTGTCTCAGTTGAGAATAAGAATCTCATATTTAATTGATTTAGATTATACTTCTCTTTCAATCTGGCTCTGAGACTATTGTATAACGCACAGTGCATTATAATATGCTCAGAATTCTTATTTGTATTGCAGAATGAGTATTCTATTGAGTTAAATCTATCATTAAATCTTTATATATAAGATTTGAAATAGTCATGTCCTAGTTTCAGCTGTATTATAGATGAGAATATTTTCTTTTTATATTTAATTGAACAAGATTTTCACTTGGGTTTTATTTTAAATCTTGAATAATGTATACTCTTCTTTTATTTCTGTCAGCTTTCATTTCACTTATCTAAACAAGATTCTTTTATTTTTCTCTTTATAAAAGATCAGAACATAACTTTTTAAATAGATCTGCTTAATTCTGCACTCTTTTTTGCAGCTGAATCAGCCAATTCATTGTCATGAATATTCATATGAGCAGGAATTCAGTGTAAATGAATTATTAACTTTGATATTCTTCTCTTTTGAATTTTTAAAACAGAGTTTAAGATCAGTTCAAGATTCATTTGATCATTATGAATCTGACTATTTCTAAGTCTTTTTAAAGTAGCTTGACTATCAGAGAATATTCATGTCTCTTTCAAACTATTTCCTCTTTTATGAGATTTTATTTCTATGAGTTTGAAAGCTTTCACTATTGCAAATAGTTCAGCATCAAAGACTTCAGATTCACAGTCTAGATTTTAGAAATCTGAGATAAAATTGATATTATCTTCAGTATAAGCAATGCCTGTGTCTAATCTATTCAGGTTCTCATTTTTTGAGTCATCTGAATAAATCAGAATAGAGTCTTTTATATTGATTGTAGAAATTCTCTTCAAATGCTGTTTATATTCTTTCTCTTTTAATAGTTCACTTATTTATAAGTCTATAAGAGATTCAAGCTTTTCTCTTCAGAGAGATAACTTCTCATGATTCACTTTTTCAATATTTAAAGAAGAAAATTGATTTTTAATCAGAGAGAATAGTCTGTAAAGTTGAGAAGACATTTTCTTTGAAGAATTATTTTCATTTCAATCAAGAAATCTATTTCAATTCAGTTCATTTCCAGAGTTAATTGATGAAAATGAAGAAGAGACTCTTTCTCTGATTATATGATTTGAGCTCATCTTTACAACTCTCAGAGTATAGTTCATACAGGCCTTTTCAAATCTAATAGCAGAAGAAGGAATTGAAGCTTCAATTTCCATTACTTTAATAGAAGATGATTTGAATGCTCTCAGAATTCTTCTCAAGACTCTGTTTTACAGACTTTGAAAGAGTTCAGTGAAATTCTCTTGATTATTTCATCAAACTTGAACTTCATAATCAGCTACTGATGTAATACAGGCTACATATAACTGTCTCATAGCCTGGAAGAATAGACCTCTCTCTGTATTTGATAGTCTGATTATGTTGTTCAATAGCCTTTCTGCCTTGACAGTTCTTTGTTGAATGTAATATTTAAAATTCAACTTGAAGTTTAATCATACTTCTAATCATTTGACATTTATACTGGGTTTAATCTCTCTATTTAAAAGAGTTAGAGATAGTTCTTTCTCATTGAATCTAGAAAAGAAATGAATTAACTCAGTTTTATTCATATTAAATTAAATTTGATTGATATCTGCTCTAATAAAGATTTTCTTTGCAGCTTCTTCAATCACTTTCAAATTCTCTTTGATAGTTTTTAAGCTGTAGACTAGATCAATATCATTCACATAACTCAGAGATCACATTATTCTCATATTTCTATTTTTGAATAGATATGCAGTGTATATTGCAGATAAAATAGATGAGATTGAAGATTCTTGTGATACTTCTATTTTTATCTCAGTCTTGTCTTGTTTCATTCCATCAAAGAAAAGTTGTATGATTCTTTTAGACATAAAACAGTTAACTCATTTTATTAGAGAAAGTGACAGTTTTAACATCTTCAAAGTCTGAATTATCTTTGACTTTGAAACA